CCAGGACTGGTTGCGGTCTGGCGCTGGCGCCGCCATGCGGCACCTCCAGCAGGGCAAAAAGGAAATCCCACTCCCGTGGGAGGACAAGCCACACCCTCTAAGGTCCGACCTTATAACCAGAATGACGCAGATAGGGTAGCTATGGCCAACGAGTTGTATGCGCTCACGGCCCAGATCTGGGATTTTTGCTGCGACAGACAGATTGTTGTAGTCGTCGAGAATCCCTACCGCAGCTTCTTTTGGCATTGCGGCAGCATTGTACAGGCCCTGCGCAGCGAGCAAGCGCGGGTGGTTCAATGCGATCTCTGTATGTTAGGAGGATCCCGATTGAAGCGGACGGCCTTGCTGTGCAATGACGATCTCATCAAGGGCATGGCCGTCAAGTGCGACGGCGGCCATGAGCATCTGCCTTGAGGCGCAGGAGGGAGTTCTCGCGACAAAACTTGAGACTGCCTACGCAGACAGATTCTGTAAGCAGTTCATGTCCCTGCTGTTGCAGCATCTTACACAGAAAGGCTGCAGGGACGGCCGCAACCTTTTGGAATGTGACCCTGCACACTCCTCAGGTTCCCGGGTGGTCACTACCCAGGCAAAGGTCAAGAGAGTTGCCTCCTTTCAGGTCATTCCCGAATTTCGCACAAGGACTAAGTGGGCAGTTCCGCGGCAACTGCGCAGCACCTTTTCTCCCACGCAGTGGCTAGGACCAGACAGAATCCCTGGCTTCGAGGCGCCTGGAGCCCCGGCGCTCAAGGTGACGCCCCTGCTGTCATCCGAGACGGATGTCTTGGTCGAGATTCCGTGGAGTCCAAACGAGTTTGTGGCGCAGGCCCGCCTGGCCGGTCACCCCCGGCATTTGTGTCTCGGGGTGCCACCTGCCCTTAGGAGGGCAATCTTGGAATGCACCAAACAACCGGCAACCAAGCTGGTTGAGGTTCGAGCTGCGCAGTCACGGAGGTGGCTTCGGAGGGCCCAGGAGCTACAGCAAAGTGAGAATGATTTCAAGGCAGACCTCCCTGAGCACATTCGCAGCAGCCTCAGAAATAAGAGGATACTGCTTTTCAAAGAGATGCTGGAGGCGTCTCATTATGCAGATAAGGCAGTTGCTGACGATTTGGCACAGGGCTTCGATCTAGTAGGGCATTTGGACCTTCCTACAGGCTGGTCCACAGACTTTCGCCCAGCATTTCTTTCCGTGCAGGACCTAGCCGAACTGACGCAGGAGACTAACTATCAGGTCATCAAGGAGGTCGAGGACTCCTCGCATTTCTTGGAGGAACTTTGGCAGAAGAGTCTTGACGAAGTATCAAAAGGCTGGTCGGAAGGGCCGTTGCGGGACCAGGACCTGCCTGAGGGCGCAGTGATCAGCAAACGCTTTGCAATATGCGACCGATAGACGACCTGTCCCAGAGCCACATCAACGCCCCAAAAACTGCTCGTAGAAGAACCCAGCTCAGAACGACTGATGGCAAGCTCATGTCCCCGCTCGAGGAGGCAGAGGCACTTGCTGATTATTGGAAGGGCGTGTGCGGGGGCGATGCTGAGGACACCCCAGCGGGTTCACCGTGGAGTGGCCAGCAGGCCGCCTTGCTTGATAGAGCACAACCAGTTGACATCACACGGGCGGAGGTGGAGGCGGCTCTGCGCGGTTTGCAGATCAGCAAGGCAGCGCCGAAACATTGTGCACCACACGTGATGTGGAAGATGGCAGCGGGACCACTAGCCGATTACTTGGAGGACAGGGTGCTACAGAAGTGGCGCCGGGAAGGAGCAAGCTCGAGAAGCAGATCTTGGATATGGCGGAGAACCGTTTCCAGGTTCACCAGAAGGTTGAAGTAAGCTTTTCGGAGCTGGCAGTCACCAGGGCTTTTATGCACCTGTTACAGAAGCTGGGGATGGGCAAGGAGACGAACATGTTCGAGACTGTAGTGTGGACAATTCTTTGAGGACAATTCTTCGAGGCCTTTGAGTTGCAGCTTGCAAGCATCAAGTTGCTTGCGGCAACTCATGCAGCTGCTGCACAGCAGCCTGCTGTGCCATTTTCATCGTCCTGTGCGGGTGGGGCATCCCAACAGATTGGATTTGCCGCGTGCCCTCGAACCGGACTGTTTGCCTGCCCCTCCAGCATGCATGGGTGCGCATCCAACGTAAGTGTTGTGACGTCACTATTTTGCGTCCCTTCTGACATGCCAGGCCCCAGCCCTTTGATGCCTGTTGCGGAGGAGCCGCTATCGCTGTCGCTGAAATGCGTAAGCGCGCAGCTTACTGATGGCAGGCGCTGCCGCTGGAGTGATGAGTCGCTCCGCCTCGTCACTCAACTCGTACGATTCCGAGCTCAGCGCTCGTGCCGCCCTGTGCCCTGCAGCCACGCGTGGTTGGCTGCGCCGTTGGTGGGCGGGCTGTAAGCGTGGCTTCCGTAAAATTAATTTCGTTTAGTTTGCAAAGCACACTTGCCGCCACGCTGCTCGGAGCGCCGGCGCGTCGCCGGCGCAGCTCCCGCCGCTTTAGGACGTACTGCACGACACCCCAGCCTTCTCAGCCCGTGGGGCGCAGTCTGCACAGGGACCTGGACTCACGTCTCGCGGTGATTTTGCTGCAGCAGTCCACAGCCGTTGACCTCCCTCCACGTGCGAGGTAGTCAGAATGGTGGGAGGTCGGCTTTCGCCCTTTGCACAGGGATGCTGCATGGCGAAACCGAACATGAAGAACAAATTGCCCGGAAGGCAGCATCTGCTCCATTCAGCAGTTCGGATGATCCCCGTGCAGCCGTGCAGCACCGTCTGCATTGGCCTCGATCGCGAATGTGTGCGTCGCCATGGCCCCTCGGCCGGAGTCCTTCAGCTTCTGTGATGGCTGTGTTGCGTCGTTTTGAGTGGTTGCACAGCCCGTGCTTCTCAGATGCGATGCTCCACTGCTCAACGTACACAACGTTGGCTACAGCTTCTTGCCCCCCCGCAACGGGCGCCAACTCCGACGGCATTTTACTTTGCAGCTTGATGCTTTATGGACTGCTGGCATGCGTGGCCTAATTATGCTTGTCACGGAATCACAGGCATAGGCAACTGCCTCCTGCCAACTCTGCCACGCTTGCCCTGTCGCAGGCCCGATGCTTCTTCGAGCGGCAGCGTGGGCAAAACCCCGCATGCGTTCCCTCCTGCGCAGACCTCGGACGAGACCATTGCGGACGGTGACATGTGCATCCGTATTGCGTCGGCAACACACAGCTCGCGGCTGGCGCGTGCTGCGCCAGCATAGCGCTTGATAAACGGTTTTTGCAAAGTACATCTCAAGCGCAGGCGTCGTGTGGTCGGAGCTTTCAAATTGCGGCGGTCTCGTATCCAGTAAGCTGCTGACTGGTGCAAAGCAGTGAGAGCGTTTGCTGTTCTGACGGCCCTGCAAGGCCGGTGTTCGCGTGTGCAACGCGGGGAGCGCCTCACTACAAGAAATGGGCTGCTGCAAAGGCTTCTCAGTTCCAGGGGTACTATAATTATGTTACCACAACGTTTCGCTGGCTCATAAAGTTTCAAATTTTCAATCAGTGGATTCTGCCGTTTACTGCGACGTCTGGTTGGGCCACCTCCGGTGGAGTCCACGAACCCCCAGCTGCAGCCACTGCTCCGGCACATCGCTCTCCATCCAGAAAGGGCGGCCACGTGGGGCGAAGCGTAGGAGGCGCAACGTCTCGCAGTACAGCTACATGTATCGAACAATCTGCACGGCCAATGGCCAAACAGACTGCCACATGCCCGCACGTGCGCTTTCGCTGTTTTCGGTCGTAGCGTGACCATGCCAGAATATCTGCGCAGCCGTGCCCCATACTTACGCCAGGATGACTTCGGTCGACTGTCAGCTTCAAGTCGCGAAGCCCTGCCGACAGGTTGGCACAACCAACCGCCAAACAGAATGCATGCAACATCTATTAGCGATGTGTTCGTAACGGGTTCGGACACGAAACATGACTTGGCAAGGAACAGAATTTCGATGTTGGCGTCCGGACCATGCGGTGCACAGGTACACTTCCGCGTCGTACCAGCTATTGGCTGCAGTGCCGTGTATGAAAAGGCTGCTTCCTTCCCCAAGATCCAGCACGATGCGTGCCTGCCGCGTGCTTTGGATAGCTACCCGTTTTGATTCAACAAACAAGCAAGCAAGCAAGCAAGCAAGCAAGCAAGCAAGCAAGCAAGCAAGCCACACACACACACACACACATGCACATACTCACTGGTCGACACGACTGCCTCATCTCAAAGCATGGACCGGAAGGACGCTACACCCCCAGACGACAGCACGGAGAACATCAACAGGTAACTCTGACAGTGGAACGACGGAAGCACCTGCAAGGCGTGATGTAAACACCGTGCTTCTTGCCTGCGATGTCTCAGCGGCAACTGTAATTATGGCGCCGCGCCACGTGGCAATCTCGAGCCTACCGAAAGAGCGACGCCGAAAGTCAGCTTGCTTCGACACTTCGCACGAATCGCTTCGGCTCGAGACGAGCCTTTCCCTAAAGCCCTTGTTGAGCGCCCAAGATTGGGGGCATCCGAATCCTCACTTCCCATCCCATCCGCCCCCTCTCCGCTGTCTCCGCTCTCTGCTCGCGCCCCCGCGAACAACACACTCAGACGGCGGTCAGGACTCATGCGCGCAGCGTTTTCGATCCCAATGCTCATTGTCTTCTCATCTCTCATCTCATTTCCTGGCCCCTCTTTCGGAGCTTCTCCGGCCCGGCCCGCCCAGCCGAAGCACAGAGCGCACGCGCCCGCTTGGGTTTTCCATGCGGACGCCTGGCGCCGAGGTCGTGAAACAAAAAAGTGGGGGGCGGGGTGGCCGACTTCTCAGATCCCCTAAGCGCACAGAATCGCTCTAACTTGTGCTAGTATAGCTACAGTTTTTTCGCCGCGCTATATGCCACGCTCTGCCACCACAGTAATCATCAGAGCGACATGCAACCTTATGCATGGCAATGCGCTCTGCTCGCAGTTTGCGGAGGCTTTCTGGCTCTCTCACTCCGGATGCACCGTGCGCCTGCAGGGACTTTCGAAGGCTACAGGCTACAGATGGCTACATTACCGGAACTACTCGAGCTGTGACTTTGCACCTCTTTCGGCTGAAAGCCTCCCCGGCGAAAAGCAAGGCCAAGGCCACCAGGAGGTCCACCTGATCCGTCACCGCGGTCACGGCATCGACGGCTGAGTGTCGTGACCGGCGCCCGGCGGAAGCCACGGCACAGCAGAGCACCGCCAGCGTGAAGCAGGCTCCGGGACTGAAGCGAAGCAAAGGCAAAAGCAGGGCTTCAACAAAAAGCAAAGCTGCGGCCGGCGGCCGGCGGCCGGCGTGGGCCTGCCCATCCCGAAGCCCGACAGCTGCGAGAAGACCACGCGCTTCTCGATGCCCCACCTAAGAAAGGCAACAGGAAATAGGGATTGTGGTCCTTGCGGCCGCCGGGACGCTTTGGAGGCCCCGGCTCTCTCCAAAGCGGACTGTTAACCGGGAAGCTCAGGTTGTACCGGCCCGGTGACAGCCTCAAAGGACACCGCAAGATCCAACGCGTAACGCTCGCCTCTGCGTCTGCGGGGAAACGCTGGGCGCCCAGGGCCCAGGCCCGCCAGGAATCCGGCCCCAGAGCTGCCGCACGCGGGGAGCCACCTCAAGAGCTCATGAGGCTCAGTTACTCCCCCATGGGTTTACATCTCCGGCTCGTTTATAGATCAGGTTGCCGGCTGCTTAGACTACAATCAACCGCCGGTGTGGCGTCTCTGAGACCGGAACATGCTTAACAGCTTTGGAAAGCTGAACATGGTTACACGCGGACAGCCAAGCAGCCGAGCAACCAAGGAAGCTGGCAAGCAAGTCTGCGTGTGCATCATGCATGCATGCATACGTATTCGGGAAGGGCATGGCATCGACAGATACACAATGCAGGTGCACGGGGAGACACGTGAGCAATGTCAGTGTATGATAGTGTATGCAGCCATGCACATATCTGGAATCTAGATACGCGTGCGTTCCTGGTCGTTGCATTCCTCTGTGACGTGGCAGGAATGCAAAAGCCCTACCATACAGGCATGGACCGGAGACCGCCTGACCTACCCGACCAGGGCCGGCACCGGAGTCCGGTACCAGACTTTGAGGTGTTCGAGGAACGTCCCATCTGGCACGGCTCACGGCTGGAAATCTACTGTACTGCACCCCGTTTGCTGCTTGTTGTTTGCCTGCCTGGGATCCAGCTGGTGATGCCCTCCACCTGGCAAGGTTGTGACTTTTCTTTTTTCTTGAGGGCGGCTACTCCTCGCCTGGAAGCGGCCGCTGTTGGCGTCCATGGAAATCCAGGAGTAGAGATCCTGCAGCCGCGGGCTTCTTCGGCTTCTCCCAAGGCGCCCGGCCGAGCGGTGGCAGCGGGGCGGGGTCCCCGTCAGCTGGCAGGCAGAGCTCCGTCTCGTCCACTTGCAAGGAGAGTCCCTGAGAATCCTGCAACCTCACACACACCGCCGCACAGAGAGAGAGAGAGAGAGGTCACCATCGCAAAGTTGTGTGGACCCAGCCTGAACTGGTCAGTAAAGACGGACATCGACACGAGCCTCGGTGGGAGCAGAGAAGACTTCGCCAGGTCGGGTTGACGGTAAGAAATACTCGGAGCTCCCCGGCCCACAGGGGCGAAACTCATCGAAGCCTCGGCGGAAACGCGGTCCCGATGCACTTTATCCGCTTCTTTGCGGCCCGGCCCAAGCTCTCCCCCCTTTTCCCCCCCTCTCCTTCCAGCAGGTGGTGGAAGGCCGGATCGGGACTCCGTCGCGGGAGCACATCCGCCACCTGCAAGAAGCGAAGAGGAGCGCCGCTGCGACGTGCGGCGGGCCCTCTTCTTGCCTGGGTGATGCCCGTGCAGGAGTACTGCGCAACCAAAAGGTTGAAGGCCAGGGGGCGGCTCTCCTGGAAGGCAAGGTGACAGAAAACTGACCAGTGAGAAAGACGTCGGGAGCTCTCTGCGTCCCGTCCGGTCCGGTCCGGTCCGGTCCGGGCCCCGGGCCAGGTAGTGACGATTGTTCGCACTGAAGCTCAGCAGCTCATACCTTCATTGTTTAGGGGTCGATAAGAGCAGAGACTTGAAGCAATAAGAGCACAGAGTCGCTGGCGAAATTAGGGAGGCTCCTGCAAGGCCTTCCTCCACCACAATCTCCTGCCATGCCCCCCAAAGCCCAAACTCAGCAGAAAGCCATCCCTTCAAGCTTTCCCCTCTCCTTCCAGAGATCGTCAGGGCCATATTCGAGGCTGATCTCTTGCACCGCCTCAGACGACAAAACACTCAACATCTTCTAGGAGAGCGCGCGTGACAAAGAGAGAAGTGTATGATGCGTCTCTTGACTTCGTACTAGACGCACTCGACTATCTGATATCGCATCGGAAGATATCTTGAAACGCAGTCATGCCAACGGCAAACGTGCACTTCTTGGCCCTCAGCGGAGCCGTGGAGGAAGAGTGCGTAGGCCATCATCAGGAAGAGGAAGGAGCAGGCACTGGAGTGGCAGGCATGGGGCGGCCTCCGGAAGATCCTGAGAGAGCATCTCTTGGAGAAGTTTTCAGACCGGAGCCTGCGGCCCAGGCCAGAGTGGACATCCGGTTGCACGATCTCCTTCTTGCTCGATCTGGGCATGGCACAAGGCACAACCGGCCAGAAGGCCGGGGGAACCACGCTTGCAGACATCGCGGCCTCGTGCAGTCGGCTCTCGAACCAGAGCCTCAGAGACGACCTTCCTCTTGCTGGGCCTGGGACCGTGGGGGCGGGCGCAGAGGACAGAGAGAGAGAGAGAGAGTGGGAGCGCTCTGAGGCTCTCTGAGGCTTTGTCCTGGAGACATGCACTTGGAGGTTTCGCCTCGGACTTGGGAAAAGTCGTCGCGTCCAGAGCCGGCGTCCAAAGTCTAGAGAGCCCTCTCTTCGACTCGTTTTAGGCCCCTGGCGGCCATCCTGTAGGTTCTCCAGGATGGGGGGACTTTCCGGGATTACGCTGTCATGTGCAGACATTTGCTGCGGCCCAAGCCGTCGGCGGACGATTGAATCGAACGGGGACAGAGAGACTAGAGATGACTAGTGACTAGGGAGAGGGAGAGAGAGAGAGAGAGAGAGAGAGAGAGAGAGAGAGAGAGAGGGAGTGAGGGAGAGAGGGAGTGAGGGAGAGAGGGAGAGAGGGAGAGAGGGAGAGAGAGCGAGAGAGAGAGAGAGAGCGAGGTGCATGCCGACTGCGTAAGGCGCCCTGGCTTTTCCGTGCTCTGCTGCGCTCAGCTGCTCGGCCGATCTGCGGAGCAGTCCGTTGGTGCAGGGATCTGGGCCTCTCAGAGGAAGTCGACCTGGCGCCTCCCACCATGGCGGTCCCAAGTGATGTTTGGTTGTGCTTCACGCCAGTTCATATCCACACTTCGCGAGGCCTTCGTTCCTGAGCCCGCACAGTCTGGAACGGGACCAGAAGTGCGAGCGGCGCACAGCCTGACGCGTTCTCCAGTCTCGCTTCTTGAGTCTCTGTTACAACAAGGCAGTGCATGGCAGTACCCTGGCTTGTCAAAGCCGATTCCATGAGCTGTGATCATCGTGACAGCAAGAAAGCCCTGGATGCTGACAATACTGTAAAGGCTTATGAACCCTATCACCCAACGCCCTAATCGCCCACCCGTTAACTCTGTAAACCTGTAGGTCTTCATAAGAGATCACATTTGTAACTACTAGTAGGCCTTTTTTGATGCCGGTGACCGGTGCCTTGCAGCGGATCCGCTGAGTCGAAGGGCGAAGGCCGCGAGAGGTTTGGCAAGTTGAGGCCTGGTGTTTAGGATTTGGCTGGGCTCGGGCGGAGTTGCGGCGGCTCGATTTAGGATTTCAGAAGCTTGGAGGGTGGAGGGGTGCTGTTTGGCGTTTTGCCAAGGGCCGGAAGCACCAGGGAGTTTGCGGAGGCCCGCATTATGAAGACCAATCCCAAGCTACCAAAACCTAAACTGTTACATAAACCTTAAACCCTGAAACCCTACAAACCCTGTAATTCGACCCTAAACCCTAAACACCTCTAAACCTAAACCCGAAACTGCTGCTCTGCCTCGCACGGCCTCGGAGGAGTCTTGGAGCATGGCCTTTGGCGGCACAGAGGTCAGAGAGCGGCGCCACTGTACAAAAGGCTCGCTCTCCTCTCCCTCTTTTTTCCTGCCTGTTTAAAGTTTCTACGACTTATAAGGTTTCTAGGGCTCATATAGGGTTTAGGTTTAAGTTTTCCGAAACCCTAAACACGAAAAGCTGGGTGCCGGGCCATGCCATAGCATCCTTGCAACTTGCAAGGCTGCGCAGGAAGGGTCGGCGGGTCCCCAGAAAAGTGCTCGGGCTGTGCCCGCGGCGGAAGGGGATGCCGCCGTTGGGGCCCCCCAAGGAATGGGGGTCGGGATAGCACATCACCGGTCCTGCACTGAAGAGACACAGCACAAAAAAGACCAGCGAGAAAGCTCCGAGCGTCCGGCGAGCCCCGCCGCCCAGCACCGGGCCGGTGGACCTACGAGGGAGGACGAGTTCTGGCCTTCAGCGCCAAGAGCTAAGAGCTCCCTCGGCTTTTGGGGTCCCGGCAGCTGGTCCAGGAAGGAGCTCTTGGCCATCGTGGGAGCAAAGCAGCTCCAAGCAGCCCAGCAAAGGTGCTGAAATAGCAAACGTGCTGGGCTGGTGGCTGGTAGTGTGCTCAGTGTGCTGAGGCCATGTGCCAGAACTCGGTCGGCTCTGTCGTTCTATGGGATCTTGATGACATACTCGCATGCTACCGTCGCAGAAACCCTGCAAGCATCTCGCTCCGACGCAAGATGTCAGTGCACACTGCTGCTCTACGCGGTCGCGTCGCACGTCAAGCTTAGACTTAGCACTCATTTTCGTCCAAGTCTAGCTCTCCAGCGCCGAGCGCAGGCGCGAGAGTGACGGCCACGTGGTGCTACCTGGGATGCTGAGGCCCAGTAAGGCAAGTAAGGAACCGTAGTTTACATTTCACTGTCAGCTGACGGTGACGCAGAAGAATGATGGACAATGAGCTGTAGGACGGTCGCGTGGGCTGGTTTCCGATGCCACCAAGGACCAGGCTTTGCCGGCTTTGCCAGGTCACCAATGCCCGTGATGTCGGAAACGAAAGCAAATTGATCCACTGGGGGCCTGGATTCAGGAGCGTCGAGAGCGTCGAGAGTGTCCAGCCCGTTTCTGAGTCCAGGACGGCTGGGAAGGACTGTCTAGGGACGCAGGGATCGGCCTGAGATATGCAGAGGGCAGGAGGCTTCGAGGCTTTCGAGGCTTCGACTCGCTTTGCGCTTCGCCCTTCGCGCCCTGACTCTGGCCGGGCCACATGTAGGGATGGCCCACCTTGCCTGCATGGAGCCGAGACATGGCCCTGGAAAGACGGCGCCAAAAAGAGCGGGCGGTCCGGCGGTCCTCGCCTCGACTGGCAAAAGGCGGGGGCACCCGTGGAGCTGGAGCTGCCTTGCCCAAGAAGGGAATGCGAATCAGAAAAAACAGGCTCCCACTGTCACACACACGGTCCTTGGCGGCGTTTCCCAGGCCCGGGAGGCCCATGGGGCATGCCATGCCCATCCCTCAGAGCCGCAAAAAAGTGACTGCCACTGCCACTCTTCTTTCCTTCGAGCGCCAGGGCGGCGGCCTATTGGAGGGGCGGCGGCAGGGGTGGCAGGGGCGGCAGGGGCGGCTGGCGCGCTGATGCCCAGGCCGGCAAAGGGAAGCCCAGAAGCAGGCCTTAAACTCGCAGCCAGACAGTAGAGTAGAGACAAGAAGAGGCCGTTGCGAAGCAAAGCTTCTCCTCTCGGAGATGGATCTGGGATACTCTGTACTTCCCACCTTGCTGGCACAGGCGCCGGCGCCTTGGGCGCCGCGAGTAGGTCTAAGTCCTGGCAAGCAGAGTAAGCAGACTGCAGAGCCTTTTTGGCCGCTCCGGCCTGTGGCAGCGTCGCCGTAGGCGCCATCGGAGCAGAGGACAATGCTAAGGCCAGTGCTGCCGAGGGTGACAGTGCACCCGAGGCGCCCGTGCCGCCTGCGCTCGTTGATGCGGCGGCGGGTGGCGCCAAAGTTGCCACCGCCGAAGGCGGCGCCGGACTCTGGAGCTCGCCCAGCAAATCCAGATCCGCCGGCGCTGCAGCTGGGGCGGCGGCGGCCGCGGCGGCCGCGGGAACAGTGGCGACTGCAAGGGTCGCAGCGTCACGGAAAAAACACTGAACTTCTGTTCGGTGGTCTACTCGGATTTGAACTCGTGGGAAGCTCAGAGATGCACAGGCAAGCTAATTACTTGTATAAACACTGCAGTACGGTCGGCCATCCGCCTGGTGCTGACATGTCCAGAAGGTCAGCTTCCGGCGCCAGAGGGCCCGGGGTGGGCGAAGCCTTCGCCTTCGCCGAACCGTCCTCCGCATTCGGACGAAGGACGGACTTCTCTGCGCTGCTGCGCCGCTCTGGGAGCCTTCCCCGCCGCCGCCGCCTTCCCCTTCCCCGCCTCTCCAGGCGCCTCCTGGAGCAGAGAAGTGGAGAAAGGACTGGTTTTTGCCACAGCGCATCCCCCCGTCCCTGCTGCTCCTGCTCCTTCTTTTGGCTGAAGAGGCGGATGACCTCAGGGGAGATCTTCGTGGCTTCAGCGAGTCATTTGTCTTAGGACAGACCCCGTGCGCCTACTAACCCCGAAAACTCCAAACCACCCAACAGCCGTGAAACCCCTAAACATCCACCAAAAAACCCGAAACCCTGCACGCCCTAGCCCCTATAGACACCGGAAAACACCGAAAAACACCGAAAAACCGTCTTGCTGTCAGGTGCCTCCTTGGCTTTCTCAGCACACTGCTGGACCTGCAAGCAGCCGTACAAAATACCGACGGCACTGTGCATGGTCTACGATACTCTTCTATTCTAGAGGTGATGTCTCAGCACGCCAGAAATACCGGCACATCCCGGATGTCTGGCTCGAGGCTTGACAGAAAATGCTGTTGGGATTCTGGGCATCTTGCCTCCGTCAAGTGGAGGATGAGGCTCCGCGCCTGGTGGAAGACGCTGAATGCCACTTCCTGCCGCTGAACGCCCCGCTCCCCGTGCCCTCCCAAGGCGACCCAAAGGTCACACAAAACTTCTTACTCCCAAAAAGCCCCCCAACGCCTCACGCCTCTGCCTCTGCCCTTAAACACTCTCTGCTCTCCGCTCTGCTCTGGTCTCTGCTCTGGTCTCTGCTCCTTGCCCGGGCCATCCTTTCGAAAAAGGAACTCCAATGCAAAGAGCACCTCACAGCCGAGCGGCTTTTGGGGGGGGTCCTCCGGCCTTTCCGGCTAAAGAACCGACTTCCATGATGGCACGCAGGCAAAGTTTACTAGGAAAGAGCAGCTTCCGCACGCGATCTCTCCGAATCTCAGCCGGTCACTCTGAGACGGGGCTGCCAGGACGTGTCGCCTGGAAAGTCTGCCCCCCCCGGCCCCCCCCCCCCCTTCTTTAAGCAGCGCGGCCGAAAGACAAACGATTCTAGTCTATAGTGACGTGGTATGAACGGTACGAACTATCGCACAGAAAGTTGGACAAGCTGGATAAACGTCATCGAAGAGATCCAACAGGAGTCCGGCCGTTTGAGAAGCTAAGCTCGTCGTAGAAGGCACCTGGTGACATCAGAACCTAAAACCCTTGCGAATTTGAAACCACAAGTCGCATCTTTTACACCTTTCCACGGTATTCGGAAGCTCTGATATGGCGGCTGCTGCACATCACACGGAAGCTCTTGGTATGCCCATTGCTGCCGGCAAGCTGTTCAGCGCCACGGGCTTCAAGCCACCGATGGCTGCCCACAGCTTCTCCAACTCCTGCGTCGTGGGCCGCACCTCAGAGAAGATACACAAAGCCAGTCCCAGACAGCCAGGCGCGCAGAGAGAGTCCTGAGAGAGTGGGGGGGGGGTGGCGGGGGATGCAGTTCCCATACTCGGGCTGGCACCCGTGCTGCGGGGTACTTCTGGCAGAAGTCCGAGATGGCGCCCACCGCCTCCTGCCTGCAGCGGCACGGCACGGTGGTCACTGTCACACTCCGTCTGCACATCGGTGCCGCCTCGACCTCGGCGAGACAGCCTCCAGGACCTTCTTTGCCTCGGCCTTCTGCTCCTCTTCAGGCTCCTTCGCGAGCAGAGGATTGTAAGGAGGAAAAGCCTCACCCAACGCCCGGGGCCCCGGCCTCCTCCTCCAAACCCACGGCAGAGGCCACGAAGGACTTCAGGTCCCCGGCCATCTCGCTGAGGTCCTACAAAGCGGGAGAAAGGCGCGCTGAAGGCTCGCAACTTGATCCCCGTCACCACCATTACCACGCCATCAGGATCATCTCGGAGAGAGAGGGACGGAAGAATAATCTGAGCATTTTACAGTGGTCTCTGTACCCAAGCCTCATGCGGCCTTTTTTTCGCTAGAGATCACCCGCACCTCCTCTCCGCGTCTGGAAAAGAACCCCAAAACTCACCGAGCTTTTGCATCTGAAGACCTCCTTGTCATGAAAACTGGTCTTGTTACCCTAGTGCCGCCTAGTGCAGTCAGTCAGGTAACATGCCCAGCTTGGCCAAGGACTGGTACACGGTTCCCCCAGCCCTGTCGGCACTGTCCTGCGTTGCAGCATCGAGGACGTCCCCAATGCTGAGTGCAACGTTGTCGAAAGCACTGCTCACTGCAGGGTGGGCCCTCAGGCATCCGCGGTGTGTCGGCGGCAGGAAGACTTGCTGTGCTAGCAAACATCCTTCGGAAACTCTACACGACAAGTCGCCCCATGTCTGCGAAGGAGGGGATCGACCCCCACAATGAAGAAGATTCCGCCTGAAACACCAAAAAGACAGTCTCTTGAAAGGTGTACCGCGTCTGCTGCAACAAAAACATATCGCCTTAAGTCTTAAGTCAACGACAATCTAGTTATTGCGTGCTTGGCCCTGCGTGCTCTGTTTGGGGGAAAACCCGACTCGCGTATATAATATACTCTGCTGGACATGGAAATCTTGGTGCTCTTGCCATGTCTTTCGAATCAGTGAGTGCAATGCAGGGTCGATACACGTGGAACTGTCAATGACTGTCAGCCAGAAACCCCAGCCAGAGCAGTAGCAGTACACATCCGTTCCATCTGGATAACAAGCTCAGCAAACCTATGCAAAGCAACAGCCGACACCTGGGCTTGGAGAACCCTTTGTCTGGCCTCCTCCGGTGCGCAGGTCCTCCCCCCCATCCCGACCGAAAACTCCAAGAATCCACACACGGCGCTGAAGACGGGAAAGATGACTCGGAGAGTTGACTTATTCCAATTGCCATACAGCCACACGCACACACACACACACACACAGACCCGCACGTGCGCGCGGATACAGGCAGGAGCACCCAGCCACACCGGCACCAAGCCTCAAAAACACACACGCACACACACACACACACATGACAGAACGTGCTTGTTTGCCCCACGCCCCAAGCGCTGTTGTCTCGAAAGCCCTAGGCCGAGACGCCTCGTGGGACCCACGCTGCGGTTGGTCGACCGCGGCCATCCCTACCACGCGCGCCTGCCTCTGATCTGCGCTTCTGCCCAAACACTGGAGCCAGCGGCGAAAAGAACTTGTAATTGGACGTTAGGAAGCTTGGAAACCATGGTGCAGGCATCGACACACTCACACACTCACACACACCCCACAATTCACAACAACAACAACAACAACAACAACAACAACAACAACACTGAGCAGGCAGACTCTGCTCATAGTGGGCGAATGGGCCAATCAACTTCAGACATGCCGTAAACCAGCGCCACCTTAGTATCAGACTTGCCGACATCTTCACAGGAGGAAAATAAATTGTTTATGTAGGTAAAGGAATTAAAAAAGTAAAGCCTGGGTAACTCGAAGCATACAGTACAATGTTGTGGCATCTCGAAAACATTTGTTCCAAGGGGCCAAATCTAACTGTGTAACTCGCCTACTAGTCCGGCTCACTCCGTTCAAGATAAGGACTACCTCCGGTGGGTCGTACTCAAAAAGCCGTCTCCCACAGTTCCCGTCTAGTGGCATCCCACACGAGGTATAAACTCCGGACCACCAGTGCAAGGCCGTAAGGATGGTGCGTCTTCGACGCACCTAAGCCGTCACTGCTACCACTGCCGGTTCGAGTAACAGGACAGTAACCTGCGGCACAAGTGGAACGGCCGTAGCTTGACAACTGTACCCAGATGTGACGTGGAGCCGTGGGCAGCACCGCTGTTGAGTTGCCATCGCCTGGAAACAAGTCAGACACGGGAGAAGATGGATGAAATTTCACGACGGTTATCCTCGCTTGAGGGGAAGGCCTTGCCACAAACCGTCAGGCCATAGTTGTTTCAAGACACGGCGCAGATTGGGACACAGTGGGCTGGTTCAAAAGAACAGGCCAACGTGTACCCTGCTTGCGCACGAAGGTGTAGTTGTCGAAGCAGACTGCGCCAAAAAACAAGAAGGTTTTCCAGGTCACACTTGCGAGGAAGCGCTCGTAGAGGCGCGAAACCCCAATGCCAGCAAAACTGCGCGGAGAAAGCTCTTGGCAGCCCTTATGATTTAGTTTTTTCGTATACAAAAAGTCAAAGCCAGGCAAGCTTCAAAGCACCCAAGTTCAGAAAACTGCCAATTTAATTGGGGTTGCTCCTTGACTCGCTTTGTGCGGCAGGTCCTCTGGTAAACACAAAAGCATAAGCTGGAGAAAAGCACTTTGGCAAAGTCGGCTCGCCATCGGCTTGCTTGCAAAACTAGGTGCTGCTCCCTCCGCCGCGCGGAAAGGTGGAAACCCTACCGCTTACCTCCAGCTCGTCCAGAACTCGAGAATTGGGATCCGGCAGTCAGCCCACAGAGGCACGGAAGCACTCTCAAACGGGAGGACGTCCCTTGCGCTTCGCAAAGGAGCCCGATGCAAACCTTTAGAGTGCGCCCGAAGCCTGGGTTGTACAGCTAAGACGCCTTGTGTGAACCGTGGCGGCTACAACAACAACAACAGCGGCAGCAACAGCAACAACAACAACAACGACGAGTCTCGCTCACTCACTCAACTCCAGCTGCTCATTCCTGAAGCCGCCCCTCCAAACAAAGACTTCGCTGGCCATCCAACATCCGGACAGCATTGCCGAGGATTTCACCTCACACCCTACTTGGTTGCTTCAGAACGTAGAGCTGTGTCAATTAGTGATCACCAGCGTTGACGCTTTTATCTCCGTCAAATCTGGATTCCTAGACCGCTTCGCAAAGTGCAATTACGATTAGAGCATGTTGGAAGTCCTGCTTCAAGGATCCAAATTCCTCTCATTGTCAGGCCATCTCGGATGCCGCACAACATTATCCATCTCCTTCGCCGCAAGGCGTTCCTACACTGCACACGGTTCCGTTCTATATGGAGAATTCAGCCATTCAGTTCTACATCCTCAAGCTCCGAAACCCGAAAAAAGCAAGATCCGGGAGCCCTGTGACATCCTGCCGGGGCTGCATAGGGTAGCACCCTTGCGAAGCAAGGTTAAATTGGGTCCGTGTCTATTACTTCAAGCAACAAAGCAGCAATACCTTCACACTGCACTGTAATTAGCATGTTGTTCCAGTATAATGAGATTCCATGAGCCCGGAATGCAACCGGCTTGCAGATCCTGTGACATCATTGATGGAAGATCGTTCTGCCGCAGGTGTGGTTTGACCTGCTGAGTGTGTGCTACGGGCGCAAGGCTTTCTTGCATCTTGATCAGGACATCAATATTCGTTGATTACTGGTCAGACAGCAACTGATCAAACCAGCTGGAGATGAATGAACTTTTTTCGCAGATGCTGCTTCGATGAAAACACACGGGCGCAAACCACGAAGCATCACACACAAGTGCGCACGAGCACAAACACATCCACACCCACGCCCACAGACTTGAACACTCGCGCACACACACAAAGACCTCCACACACACACACACACACACAGATCTACTATATATATATATATATATATATACACATACAAACATATACATATACATATACATATACATATACATATACATATGCATATACATATACATATACATATACATATACATATACATATACATATACATATACATATACATATACATATAAACATATAATGTACACGCACATGCACATGCACAAAGACTCACACTAGGTAGGTAGGCAGGCAGGGAGGTAGGTAGGTAGGTAGGTAGGTAGGCAAGTCGGCCTGTATGCGTGCATGTGTGCCGCTTAAAATGTACTCCAATAGAGTATGGTATTTACTACATTGTATTGTAGAATCTACGATATGTAATACAATATAATGTAATATGAACAAAGATAATCCAAGACAACCGGAGGTAACAAAATATGATAAAAACTGGTATAAGATGATACAAGCTATCGCAAGATAATATATCTTTTTGCAATATACAATGACGTAATACGTACAATATGGTCCACTACAATATAGCATTAATTATGTGTGTGCGTGTGATGTAAGGGTGTATAGACTTGTACTTATACTTCTACGCAGCACCCAATGTTAACGAGTTTACATGGAGACACAAATGCAGAGATGCACAGGCACACACCGAAGCAGACTGCCGTTTGGAACTGAAACAGAGCACAAGACACATCGGCGTGCAAGCAGGTGCAACATGACGGGAAAGCGCAGAAGCTTGTCTGCTCCACGCATGCTCGCTGCTCCTACACAGTTCTCCTGTCCTGCAGAGGTAGTAGTTGCACTGCCTGCAGTCCATGACCTGTTCGTAGCATCGCTGAAAATCGATGGCAGAAGCCTCAAAACAGCTACGCAGCTACTTGTACAGCGCCTGGGCAGCCTGGGGACCGGGCGGGGTCGCCCGTGTTGATCTTGGAACCGCAGCCATCGCACCAGCCCGGCCTCAGAGAAGCGAGGATCATCCTTCTTCGAAGGTATACTAATACCTATCGGTCTACTGTATCCACAGCTGTTGTGATATACATCGCCTCACCCGGAGCCGGCGCTTATCGGCTAGCCCTTTCGCCACGGAACGCCAGAGCAGAGCCGTAGGTGCCCGACTTGGCACACCACGGCGTCAACACATGGCCCTTGGGACACTTCCACTCCTTCGACTGGTGGTGACAGGAGTCACGGGCTATAGTCATTGGCTTCCTTAAAGACCCTGCCTTGGACTCCTGGCCGAACCAGCTCTCCTTCTCCGCGCTTTTGCCCCCGTCGTGGCCAAAGCCCTGAGAGCTCGTGCTCTCGTGCTCTTCGTGCTCTCGTGCTCTCGTGCACGGTTTCGCGAAATTGCTCAAGCAGCGCTTACATCGCTTACCGGCTTACCGCTCGCTTGAGAGCATAGAGAGCGTTGCGAGATAGCGAGAGTCTATGAAGCTTACACGGGTCCCAGCGGGGCCCGGCCGCCCGGCCGCCCGGCCTGTATGCGCGACTTGTCCAGCGGCATCCCGGCTGGTGGCGTACTGGAAGTGATATCTACTTGGCGGTGAAGGCTGCTCAATGCTTGAGGTTGCAGGCACTGTTCAGGTAACGCATTGTATGCAGTGTGCGCAGAGGGCGACACAAGCTGTGCTGTGAGAGATTGTCTATTAGCCGGCAGCATGCCTGTGAGCCGAAAACGAAACCAGGCGAACGTCACCCTTCCACCCTTCCACCTGGCCCCGGGCCGAAGGAATTGGTGTCTTCCAAGACCTCAAATCCTTTTGCGACGAGCACCGCTCGGTTCAGATGACTTCCGGTTCCGGGGAGGACGCCAACTTGTGGACGTGCCCAGCCCCAGAAACAGCGGCCCTCCCTTGCCGTCACCTCGGCCAAAGGGCTCCGCAATCCGAAAGACTGTGTCTGCAAAGCTTCAAAGCCCCCCCGGCCTCGAGAGGAGAAGGCTTCCAGCCGGGGTTCCCCGGCTGCAAAGGCAAAGACCGTCTCGGAAAGCGCGACTCTCCTCGGCTGCTCTCTGGCTTCAAGCCCTTATAGGGCGGCTACACTCTACAGCCTTCTATCAGGAGAACGAGTGAGAGTGAGCGTGAGAGTGGGTGTGAGAGTGAGAGAGTGAGAGAGAGGCATGCAGGTACGCAAGGGGCCAACATTTGGACGAGCGTCTGGAACCCAGACAGCCATCCACGGACCCTACGCTTTGCCAGCTAAGTGCAGAGAAGGTGACGTTGTCACTTTCACAGGCCATCCAGTACTGTCGGGTAATTCTTACATCCAGGTACTCCGGCGCTAGCAATTGAGCAGCATGTCACCCAGCCCTGCACTTCCGACTCCAGCTTTGCTGGCGCCCGGAGCAAAGCCAAAACTTTTCTAACAGAGCTCCTTCTTGCGGCCCAGCCCAGCGGCATGCTTTAAGCCGTAATTGCGCTGGGCTGTTCCAATAAACGCCGAATAAACGCGCCTCCCGCCCTCTTGAAAGGGCCGCGCAGTACTGACAGGGGCTGGAATTCGGAAGGCCCCTGAGGCCTCAGCAAAGGAAGCCTCGGCGGCAGAACTTCCCAAGAGCGAGTCTCGGCTGCGAGTCTGCGAGGCCCTGGCGGACCCTGGGCTCCGTGGGGAATCCCAGCGGAGCTCCGCCGAGAGGAGCCGTCTGCAGTGCCGGGCCGAGGGAGCCCAGCGAGGGCGGGGGCGGCGTCGTGGCCTCCGCCAAGGCTCGGCCGCCCGGCTCTCTCTCAGTCAGGATGCTGGCCCACTCGGCTCCGCACTCCACCCATCGGCAGAGTGAAGCGAGGCGGAGGGCTCATCGCCTGCACCCGTCAAAAAGCAGAGAGTTCCCCGATCAGCTCCGCTTGGTCTGGGCTCTCCGGCGGCTTGGGCGCGAGCGACCTGGTTGGCCTTGGCACGGCCCGGCTGGCCCGGATCCAAAAAACAACAAGAACCCGTCGAAGTCTGCGCGGGTCGAAGTCTGAGGGAGCTGCGCCGACCCAGCCGGAGGATGCACGCGTGTTGCCAGATGGATCCTGCCAGACGGACGGCAGCAGCTGGGAAGGAGCAGAAAGAACCGCCCTGAGCACCATGCAAGAAGGTGGCAGGGTTGCACCTGGAGTCGATGAAATCGATGCAACTATGGCAAACCCCGTAAGTCTTCAGCCGCCCTCAGGAAAGTGAGCTCGGTCCCCGTGCAGTATCGGCACAGTAGACGAAGGCCTGCCACCTGAGAGGCTGACATCGAGTATCCCCCATCGAATCCAGGAGCCCCGCAGGAGCCCCGCAGGAGCCCCGCAGAAGCGCAGCCGAAGTGGGAGCCGCTGGGTCCCAGGTCCCCCGACGCTTCCTCCTTGTCCTCAAACTCCTGCTTTCGCATCAGGCCGGGGCCTTAGGTCCCGGCGTCAGACTGTCAGACTTACCAGACTTACCATGCATTCCTGACATCCTCTTGGCCCTCGCGGTCTCTTACGCGTGCGGCGCGTGCGTTTTCCCTCGGGCCGCGGCCCACCAGCGTACGGAGCGTCCAGGTCTGCGCGGCAGCTCGGCTTTCTCAAAGCTTCGACTCTTCGGACGGGGGGAAGGGGAAAAGGGGCGCACCCCCGGTCTTCCAGCCATCAGCTCCATGTGGGCTGGCTTGATGGGGGCCTCAGAGACATCGCCCTTCGACACCTGTCTAATCCCCAATCCCCCGGCCATTTGGGACCGGACGCCCTCGTCGGTCCTCAGCGTCAGCTGCCACACGAGGCGAAGGAAGGCTTTAAGTAGTATCTCTATAGGACTCCGCGCAGTGGGATCAGCATCTCGCGCAGGGGAGTCTTCGAGTGAGAGATGCGCCTTTAGCTCTCAGACAAGTAAGACGTAGAGATTAGTTCTTGGGAGATGCCGACGCGCGGGCCGTGCCTGCTCTGACGGAGCTCAGTAAGCTCCGCGTGCAGGAGCTCCAACATCTCCTGCCATCTAATCGGGGCCAGGCTTGGCTTGAGCCGGCTGGGCTGGGGAGCGTCTAACAGCCCAAGGACAGGGTGAATTCAACCAAATCTTCTCAGCACCGCAGCCTTCTGCTGCGAGATCAAGGTGATCACCTCAGAGAGTCTGAGAGTGCAGCAAGCCGGTGACTGTACGTACATATGACTTCTGGGATGCAATCGAATCATACGAAATGTGTTCCTTGGTGCCTGTAGCCACTGTGGCCTTTTTTTTGCTCCCTGAGGTGATCGCCTCCTCCTGGACCACCCCCTGCGCACTGCGCACACGAAGTTCGAATGCCAGAAATGTCAGATCCTTTACCCCCGGCCCGCGGCCTTCGCAGCCCACTTCGGCGCCGCGCCTCGGGATTCTCTCGGGATGCCAAAAAACTGCGCAAGCCGGCGCTGCCGGCTCCCGCTCTCTCTCTCTGCCGTGCCGTGGGCCGCGGCCGCTGCTGGGCCGCTGGCCGCCCGGGGTGGCATCGGTCTCCCGGCCAAGCAAGGTCTTTGCAGGAGACGCCTCGCAGCCAAGACTCCCGGACAAGGACTCGCTCCGATTCGCCCGCCGCACGGGCGCGCCCGGGCGCACCGCGCACCGCGCACCTGCGTGGAGGGCGTCCGGGAGGAAGGCGAGGGCGATCTCTCGGCGGCCTCGGCGTTTGGGCTTTGGCTTCGCCGCGGCAGTGGAGCGGGGCCTGCGGGGCCTGGGCAGGCTCCGGGGACATCTGCCTTCGCGAAGACTTGACTACAGAAGAGACAGCAGCCAAGAGCCGGGGCTCACACGACCACTGAGGCAAGGAGGCCTCCGCAAAGTGACACCAACAGCCACTTCCGCGGGGGAGGGCGCTTCGTTAAGTTGGAGATCCAAAGATGGGCTGGGGTGGAGAGGGGCCCTCACATGTCACGTGGCCTCCACTGACAACACACCGAGAAGCAGAAGCGAAGGGGCGGGGCCACAAGCAGCCGATGGAGGAGGCGGATTTTTCATCGTGCCTCTCTGTGCGACGCCGGCTCCGGGGTCTCCGCCGGGAGCGGCTCGATCACCTGCACCAGGTGACCACCGGTTCAAGTTGTTCAATGTTGAAGTTCGGCGGGACGATGCGGGGATGCGCGGTCTCGCACTGCGAGAGCCTGCGATGCCTTTGCCGATGCCGGCGCCGAGGTGGAGGTGGGCTGCGCTGCCGCTGCCGCGCGGTCGGCCTCCACAAAGAGCAGAGAGAGTGGAGAGTGAGGCTCAGAGTGCTTGGGATTGGCGGAGCCGGCAACGGCGCTTAGAGGCGCCGCCCGAACACGTTCCCCGCGGGCTCGTCCTGCCTGGAGGCGGATGACCTTTTCGAACTCCTCCGCAAGATCTAGGAAAGCCTGCAGCACGGGCAGAGCATGGCAGAGCAAAGAGCAAAGCGGAGAGGGCTCAGGGCTCAGGATGTCGTGCGGCTGAGTTGGGAGCCGGCCGATCCGCTTCTGCCACCTGCCCCGAACCAGCAGGCCCCGCGGCGGCCCGCCATGCGAAGGGAATGGTGGTGGTTGAATGGTGGTGTGTGTGTGCGGCGCGCCGTCTGCCCTTCACGCCTTCAGGCAGGACAAGAGCACCGTGTGGGCCTCTTTGGGGTACTTCTCCTCGCCCAAAGCTGACACCAGCCAGCAGCCAGCAAAACAACCGACTCTCCGGTCTCGGGCCCCCGAATAAAACCCGGGGCCTGCTCGGGGAACTCGGCAGCTGCATCGAAGACCTCCTGACGCAGACTTCAGACTTCGATATGGCTGACTGTGCGCAGACAACCGATGCATGGTGCCATGGCGTTCCATGGAAGGTCGACGTGCTGAGCGCAATTATGCATAACGTGAGGCGGCCTTACTGCGAGACCATGAAACCGCAGCACCGAACTAGAGGAGGGAGGAGGGGTGCCCAAGGAGGTGGAAAGGGGTGCCGGAGGCCTAACAACAAAAACATCCCCGCAAGCCTGCAAGCTTGTTGGCTTGACGTTGTTCTTTCTTAATTCACCCAAGGCGCCACATTCTCGCCTCTGAGAAGTTCCGCAGAAGTTTGAACAGGGCTGGAAAGACGGAAAGGAGGGGCCGGGCCTTTCAAGAACCCGCCTCAGAGCTGAAGATTCTCCCGTTTTTTGTCCAGGGTCACAGAGTCCAGGCTCCTCGGGATTCTCTGCCATGGCTTTGAGCTTCGTAGCCACCTGCGAAGGACGCCCAGCACCGGACCCCCCAGCCGAGGTGTGTCACCGGCACACGGGAGGCGCGCCTCGGTCCTCTTGGGCCAATTCACCCAAGGGATCTGGCCGTCCGAGAAGAGCTCCCAGAGCCTGGGCCACGCGACAACGCGCGCATCGACTCGACAACCCCAACCCAAACCCCGATCTAGAGAGAGAGAGAGAGAGAGAATGTACACTTGTTTATGTGTATATACTTTGTCTACATTTATCTATTTCTATTATTTTTATGAGAACGGTTTGCGGCCAAACAATGATTAACCTGGAAATCATTATTTTCTGAAAATATCATCCTTTTCATCATCCTCCCGATCATCCTCCCCCCAGATTGGTCTCCCGAAATTTACCTCAAATTATCCTCTCCTTCATCCTCCTGCTCATCTTCCCCATCATCCTCCCCAAGTTTGGTCGCCCGAAAATCTACCTCAAAAGTATCCTCTCCATCATCCTCCCGATCATCCTGAATTTTGCCTTAGTTATCAATAAATCTGAGGAAAATGCAGGAGGGAGATAAACTTTAGGAAAAAATTGGTAAAATTTACCTTAAAAATACCTCCTCCCTGCATTTTTGCTTAGTTTTCAACGAATTGTAAATAAAATTTAAGGGAAATGCAGGAGGGAGGTAAATTTTAGGTAAAATTTACTTCAAATTTACCTCAAGATTTTGTTTAAATTTTACCTAAAATTTACCTCCTCCCTGCATTTTTCCTTAGCTTTCAACAAACTGTAATAAAATAAGGAAAATGCAGGAGGGATGTAAATTTTAGGTAAATTTTACCTAAAATTTACCTCCTCCCTGCATTGTTGCTTAGTTTTCAAGAAACTGTAATGAAATCGAAGGAAAATGCAGGAGGGATGTAAATTTTAGGTAAATTTTACCTAAATTTTACCTCCTCCCTGCATGTTTGCTTAGTTTTCAACAAACTGTAACAAAATCTCAGGAAAATGCAGGAGGGAGGTAACTTTCAGGGAAATTTATGCAATTTTTTGCTAAAATGTACCTCCCTCCTGCATGTTCCTTAGATTTTTATTGCAGCTTGTTGAAAACTAAGCAACAATGCAGGGAGGAGGTAAATTTTAGGCAACATTTAAACAAAATCTTGAGGCAAATTTTCGGGCGACCAAACTTGGGGAGGATGATGGGGAAGATGAGCAGGAGGATGAAGGAGAGGATGATTTTAAGGTAAAATTTCGGGAGCTCCGCGTGCTTTGACCGGACAGAGTCTTCTTGGGCCTCAAACGAATGCCTAATTTCGGGAAAGCAAACAACGGGGAGGATGATCCGGAGGATAACCAACAGGTAAATTTCAGGTAAAAATAATGGTTTTGGGGCGCCTCAATGATTGACTGCCCCAATTTCATAATATTATTTGTGTATCTGTAACAAACCCTCAGACAATCTCCCCTCTAACCCCCCTCCCCCCCATCCCCACCCCCTCATATCTGGGCTCCTGGCAGTGTCCCGGTGGACCACACATCGCCGCGATGGCTCAGCCTTGCCCGGTGCTCTCAAACAAAAAACGATCAACAAAACTGGAACATTGCTCTCTGCTCTGACTCATCTCATCTCCTCCCACTTTCTGAAACCTCGCGCTGCAAAAGAGAGTGAGATCGAAGGGCCTTGCAGGCAGAGAGGGGGGAGCAGCAGGAGGGGCCCCGGCTTCTGGTAGGCGCAGGTCTCCGGCGACACCCAACGTGTGGCCTGAGACGCAGAGGAGCCATGCCTTGCACTACAAATTTCAACCCCGCGGTTCGTCTCAGCTGCTCAGCTGCTCAGCTCAGCTCCTGCGGCTGCTTGCGGATCTCGTGGTCCGTGCCCTCCTCGCAGAGCGCTGCCTATAGTCCCCTGAACGCCGGCCCTCCGCTTCGAACCCGCCTTGATGATGGCAGAAAGCCCGAAGTCCGTCACCTGCAAAGAACGCACGCGAGCCTCCTGTGCCTCTCTCTCTCACGGCTCACGTCGCAGAGATCGCCTTCACGCGGATGGACTCCGGGTCCTGCCACAACGCGTCTCGCCTCCCTCGCGTCTCTTCTCTGCCGGATGCCGGTCCTTGCCCATGGCGCTCACCAAAATGTTCCGACAGGAGAGGTCTGCATGGACCTGGGCAAAAGAGGCCCCAGGCATGCTGGGCTTTGCAAAGAAACCCAGCATTGAAAGTCTCATGCTCTCTCGTCCTGGGCCGCGACCACACGGGCCCGCTGCAGGCAGTCCATTCCCGCAGCAATCTGCGCAGAGCTACTATATAGCTGAAACTCAATCAGTATCATGATAACATGATAGTCTGATAAAACTCGAACTATTGAAGGTCATCTGACAAGTGACAAGTACTCGCCATCTTTCAAGCGGGAAGCCCGATAAGAAGGACCAACGGTAACATCGTGACCACACTTACCCAAGCAACCATGAGTCTCACAAACAACACGCAGCGCACTGGAACAACGACCGCAATCACCATGCTCCTCGCGACCATGACAGCGGCAACAAGCAAGGACGGAAACCTTACTGTTCCTATCGGCGGATCACTGATGACAGTTTCTGGGCAGTGTCATAATCATGAACAGCCACAACAAGAGTCCGGGAGCAACACTAAGAGCAAAGACCCAAATCTGCCAATGATACGGGCAGCGGCCACACGAACACTTTGGTCGAAGGATGCTGGGGGAACTGCACTACCCGAATCCCGAAGCAACAGTGCACAGAAGCCAACGTATCAATGTTGGGCACAAGTTGTGTGCACATACTTCTCCTCACGCGTCTGGATTATGGGCCACACCATTCCATCCTCAAATATTTATCTGATCCCAGCGTGGCGTGTCATCGTTGACGCATCTTGTTTCGATATGCGATTTATCACCTTCCTGTGTTCTCACGGGTATTGTTGGTATTCGTGCTTCACGATCACAAATCACCATCTACTACCATGCCCGCTGCCGTTGCCCCAGACGAATTACGAAGGCAGGGCCCCCCTCGTCTCTGTGGAATTGGGATGAAGGGTGAAGGGTAGGCAGGACAGGTGGAGGTGGATAGGTGGTCCTGCACCGCGGCGCGGAGCCCATGATCTGCTCCCAGGCCGTCTTGCACCACGGCCTCAGCGCAAAGCTGCCATCCCCAGCTCCCCTGAAAGCCTAGATACCCATGACATGTCGATCCTGAGTCGAAGGATCCTGGACCTGGGACCCTTCTGACCTACGAGGACGAACCTCCGTACTCTGTGATCCTACCTCCGAGCTCTTGAGCCTGTAGAGCGCTTCCCCGGACCAGCGCCAGGAGCTACGGTCGGCGGGCGCGGAACAACCCCTCTCAAGCCCTTTTGAGGGAGAGAAATCCCAAAGTCCTGCTGAAGTCTTCGAGGGGTCCCGTCGCCAGGTGCCTGGCCTTCAGGCACCCAAAGGCAGCGCGCTCCTGAAAAGATGAGGGCTCCGGCTAGGACCTACGAAACTCTCTGAAACAGGAAACCCAACCCTCTGAAATCTTATCAAGCTACGAACCTGCAACCCCAACGCCAAGGACCTCCCAAAAGGTCTTTGGCTTCAAGTCGCTCACCAGGCCTGGACCACGATCAAGTCGCGGCCTGGTGAAGCGGCGAAACTGAAACTGGAGACTATCAGAAAGATGATACGGCTCGCCCTCCGGCGCTCTTGCGAATGATGATGACTCATGACTCGCATGATTCTTCAGCTTGCCTGGGCAGGCCTCTTATCTTATAGTCTTCCAAACGAGCAAAGGAGGTCGTTAAAACCGCTGAAGCGTCCGGCGTCCGGCATACCGTTATCGCAGGCGCCTTGCTCGCAGGCGCCCCAAACCTTGGGGATGTGGTCCCCCGCGTCCGGGACCAAGGCCAGGCGCGAGAGCACCTGAGCGGAGCTTAAGCGGAGCTTCTTTGAGTGAGTGTGTGTTCTGTTCTGTTCGTGTGTTCTGTTCGCGCTCCGCGCTCCGCTTCCGCTCTTTTGAGAGCGCCTGCAGCTCGAGGGTGCACTCGGGCTTCCCCTTGGCGTAGCGGATCACGACCTCTGAGCAAGGCGAGATAGGTGGGTTTTTTTCATGAAGCCGAGGTTGCCGGCTGTTGAGTTTTCTTGGTGGCTTGGCTTTTGGCTTGGGGGTTTGAGGGTGTTGGGAGTGGAGGAGGCTCAGATATCAGAGTGTGTTGCAAATGACTACAAGATTCGTTGGCTCTGATTGGGCGAGTTGGCTGGCGGGTGGTATCTCAAAACGGTGCGAATCATGTTGCTAGCTCCTCCCGGTCCCATCTGTGGCCCCGGGCGATGTCGCGATCTGCCTGAACGCAGAAATGGACAAAGACATTCAGAGCGCAGAACCGCCGCTCTGCGCTCTGCCTCATCCTCGTCCGGGACGGCGGAGCCCTTCAGCACTCCTCGATTCACCTAAGAAGGAACAGACCGAACGCGATGTTCCAAAGAGCCTCAGCCTCTCCTCTTCTCCTCCCTTTGTCTGGCACAGTACAGCTTTCCAGCTTCCTCTTCCCCAGCCGGCCGGGCCCTCGACGTGCTTGAAGCGGCCTTTGCCGATCTCCACGCCGATGCTGAGGCCCTGAAGCAGCCGGGACGGGACCCGCCAAGCCCAAGCCGCTGAGCTCACAAGCCGCAGCCTCCAGGGGAAGAGGCCTGAGTGCGATTTATTTTGGACGCAAAAAACAGCAGCACCCTTTCACGAAAGAAGGGCCCCGGCGGCAGCCCTGGCAGGGGTGGGAAATCGCGTGCTGCTGGCACCTCGGCCAAGGGGAAACAGGCAAATTCGTCTCGTTGGGCACAATGGGGAACACTATGGGGAACTGCAGCGTAGTCTCAGAGCCCGACGCCCGGGCGCCGTGCCGGCGCGGGGGCCTGGGCAGCAGAGCTTTGCGAACGCACAGAAGCAGTCTGCCGGGTGTTGGCTCGCCTCCTTGGCGTCTGGTCGTCCTGCCACAAACATCACGTGCAAATGTAATGACAAGATACCACCGACGGGACATGTTCGACTGTAACAGATCTCTAAATGACGATCTTGTTTCGCAAAGATGAATGAGTAGATGTGGTTCAATTTAAGAGCATGCTGCAGCATGCCTGTTGGGACGAGAAACCACCTTAAGTACCAGCTCAAGTACCAGTGACAAAGCAGCTGGCGAGTCGCCTATATAGCAATGTCGATAAACAAAGCCACAAGAATGATTTCAACATCAAGTAAATAGTAACGATAGTCGCAACTACACTGACTCTGCGAATTGTGTTAGCTTTCGTGTGGCGCCTGCAACCGCCTTGGCCTTGGCTTTGGCCTTGGCTTTGGCTCCTGGGGATGCCGCCGAACCTGGGATGGCTTTGCATCGGATGCTTGGGGGCCCTGGGGCTCCGGGTAATCAGGCGAGGCTTCGGAGACCAAGATTGCTGCGCATATTGCTGCTGCCTATGCTGCCTATGGCCGGTGCTGTTTGCCCACGGACTACGGCTAGAAGATACAAAGGCTTTTCACCGGTGTGAAACTGTCAAAACCACCACAGAAACGAACACGAGCGAAGACCGACTGCAGCAACGCGGGGGAGTCTTTTGCCGCCCGGCCCTTGCAACGGCACTTCACTAAGGCTCACTAAGGTCGCCGCGCATCATGGCGAGGCTGGCGGGGGCGTGGCTTTAGGAGTCGACGTTCGCGCGCGCTGGAGCCAACTTGTCACATGCGATCTCACGATCCCACGATCCGATCTCTGCCCTGTGTCCTCATTTCCCCGCCAAGCATCACAGCCTGTAGAGAGAGGGAGAATAAACCGGGAATCAGAGATAGAGATGGACAAGGAGACACCAGATGGATAACAATGTGGCTCAGACACTGGGCGTCTCGGAGATCAGAAGCGTGCAGCAAATCTCTACTAGTACAGCCGCGCAGGAGATCTTTCAGGCAACTACCCACACACTTACTTTTCACCGGAGTGCTCGGAATACGATGCCATGTAGACTGCAACAAGTGTGGTCGCAAAGCTGTGGGCTTCGGGCAGGCACTTGTCGGCAGTAGCTCTTTCAGTCATCCTTCAAGCTAGCTTTAACTGTCAGCAGGACACATTTTCCGCGGCGCCAGCAAGCGACTTCACGAGACGTCTCCCCCTGAATACCTTGTGCGGACGAATGGGCAACCAATGTTTGACAGACGAATGCGACATGGGGCTGCCTGTCGCCCCTGAGCTTCTGTGAAAGCCGATCACGCCTGGAATGGTTGACGACGTTCAGAGCATTCAAGAGCAATCCAAGCAGCCCGAGCTGATCGTCCATGGGCAATTGTCGTGGCAGAGGTGATCTGAACCAATGAGACCACGCATGCCGCCGCTGCTGCCCCAGTGGTGCTGCGGTCAGAGGCGGATGAAATGGCAGGATACCAGCATGACTATGACACCTTGCAGACCTTCCCCGGTCCCCCGTCCCCCGGTCCCCCCCCGGCCTGCTCAGTTCGCATCTCTGCATTCGCCTGCGGCCGCGAAGTGTTGCCACAGGTGTGGAACTGCGTGTCGTATTGTGTGCCTCAGATACTCAGGGAACCGCAGAACAGGAACCACCTCACTGCGGCGCCAGGCTCCACCATGGCAGCCAAGGCATGCCAAGGTGCCCAGGCCGGCCCCGAAGTTGACGCCGACGTTCACAGAGAGCCGGTTGAAGTCGAAGTCCCCGTTCTCGTGATCTGAGTTGACATGGAGCTTGCGACGTCTGGTTGCCTGTCTGCCCCGCAAGTCCTGCTTGGATCGAAACTGCCGAGGTGGTCCTTCAGCAAAGCACCTGCAAACGAGCTCTCCGTTTGACTGAAGCGTCAGAGTTGGGACACCCAAGCTTGCAGGCTTGTGGCACTTTTTTTGGGGCGAAGGTCGGTTCCACAGAACTCGCCCGATCTACATTGCA